TATTGTAAGCAGTTAATTATGTTACAATATACATTTAACAATATTTATGATTCACTATCTCAAATCAGAATACATGCTTGAACGGTTTTATTCTATTGTACATATCTACGTATTAATTACATTGCAATATACATGCAATATATATGTGGATCTACATTTTTTTTACTATTACGCAGCTTTCGTCATAATTGACGCCTCTGCTTTTATATATTCCAATTACATTGCAATATTCATGTACAATATTTATTATTGCAGCTCACGTCTGAATTGACGCCTCTGGCTTTATGTTTTATGGCAAAAAAATTACATTACATATAATTCCTCTGCTCCAGACGGTGTGTGTGAATTCTTCATATATCATTTCCTCTGTCCATCATATATTATTTTCACACGTTCGACTTTTCTGCATACAGTTTGTTGTGGAACTGTCAAAACTGTCAAATATTACACTTCATTGTACACTTGGGTTGCGTTCATCTACACTGCGAGTACAGCATACCTATACTCCATGTCGTATATACTCATAGAGCTTATGCTAATAGAGTGACAATAGCGCGTGCAAGGAGGATCGACAGAGAAAGATATATGCTCTGTCTGAAGTGTGGCCGCAGGCCCGTAACTATGTGCTCTAGCATTGTTGCCTTTCATTTCTTTCTTATAAAACATTTCTTTGAGACATGTACTAAAATTTTTATATAAAATTTAATAAAAATATATAATAAATCTAATAAAATATACAAAACAGAAATATTTAGAAACAGAAATATTTTGAAACAGAAAGTCTAAAATATTTTATATATTATTAATTATGATATAATATATGACAATACACAGACAGCACAATGTTGAAAATCGGGTTATAAGACGTCTTTAAAAAATCTTTAAGACAAATTTATAAGATATCTTAAAGATGTCTTAAAGACGTCTTATGACTCGATTTTTGGCATTTGTATTGTCTGAGTAGTCTGCAGAACATATTTCACATTTGACGAGTGGATTTCGATTGACCACGGTACGATTGGACATAAATTGTAATGATTGGTTCGACCTAGTAATTCACTAGAAAATTCTTATCATCGATTGATTATGTCCAATCGTACCGTGGTCTATCGGAACGCTCCCTTTGACATACCTATTCTGTTGAATGCAATATAGTTATTTAAAAATTATTAAAATATTTATAAATAATGAAAGGAAAATAGATACATACCTACACAGCACAACATCTTTCAAAAAGCTTTCCGAAAGATAATTTAAAATTATCTTGAAATATAACATTGAAATAATTCAGAAATTTTTGTGAAACATTTCATCAAAATCTTTTTCACTGAAATATTTCAGAAATCGCTTATAATAAACGTTGATCTATATATTTATACATAAATTTAATTAATTTAATTTAATTTTATATGGTTACGTGGATTTTTTCTTTTTTTTTCATTGTACTCTTTTATAATTACTCCAAGTTTATAGTCTTTTATGAGCTTATCTATTTCATAACAGTTAAGAATAAAAACATTTTACTATAAAAGTTTAAAGATAACGAAATGGATTGTGTCGGATTTTGTAGACCTTATTTCGTTACCTGAGGATTAAATGAACAATAAAAGTACGAAAAATACTATTTTTATTAAAATTACATCATTTTATTATATCATATTATCCAAAAATTATATTACTGTGTTAATTACAACACATATATTTTATATTTTGTCAATAACAAAATATAAAATGTTTATATCGATCGAAGAAGTAGTGTAGTGTCTAAAGCAATAGACTTATAATACAGAGGTGCCTCAGGGTTCCAAGTTCGACTCCCATCAGTGCCAGTGAGAATTTTTAAATGTGATGTAATATTGGAATATCAGTCTAAAATTTTCAAGTAAAATCAGCAAACGCTGTGACATTTACGAAGTTTCTAAATATTAAAATACGAATAGTTTCTGTATATTAAAAAAAATACCTGAAATATTTCCCATATATTTTTTAAACATTTCAGTAATGTTTAAGATACTTTTCAGATAGTACATCATAGCGGATATTTTATATATCTTACAGATATATAAAACATGTCTGAAATATTTCTTTGAAATGTTTCATATTTCATTGAAAGCTTTTTGAAAGCTTTCTGAAATATGTTGGTGCTATGTGGGTAATATAATAATGAAAGGAATATACATACATAGTAATTAAAACGATAAAATAATATTATCTTCGAATAGAAGGGGGAGAGAGAGAGAGAGAGAGAGAGAGAGAGACAGTGCGTTATGTAATACTTATATATTTAAAACAAAAAAAATAGATATATATATACATACATATGTATATACAGGGTGTCCCGAAGTCCCATGATGACCCTTGGTGAGAACGTAGAACGGATTGAGGTGAGCAAGAAAGTCCTGTGCCGTTTTGCGATATTCGCAATAGTTTTTGAGAAATTAATTATTTTGTCTCAACAAATCAGCGTACAGAAAGCGGCAGCGGAAAGAAAGATGCCTTCGGCCGACGTGCGACCGTGACACTCGCGAATCGTATCTCGCCGCATCCCTCCGCCCATAGCTACGAGACATAGCGAGTCTATGTCTCGTAGCTATGGGCGGAGGGATGCGGCGAGATACGATTCGCGAGTGTCACGGTCGCACGTCGGCCGAAGGCATCTTTCTTTCCGCTGCCGCTTTCTGTACGCTGATTTGTTGAGACAAAATAATTAATTTCTCAAAAACTATTGCGAATATCGCAAAACGGCACAGGACTTTCTTGCTCACCTCAATCCGTTCTACGTTCTCACCAAGGGTCACCATGGGACTTCGGGACACCCTGTATATATTTTCTATAAATTGAATTGTCCTTGTCTTCTTCTCCTT